TACCACCGGTAGAGATAGAACGTATACTTTATAAGTTTTAATATAACAGTTTTATTTTTTTATTAACTGACAGAATGGATAAAATAGACAAAACACATAAAATATTGCTTAAAATTCATATTTTATTTTACAAAAACCCTCTGAAATTATGAACCTGAAAATTCAAGAAATCATAACGGTATTGTAAACAAAAAATATATAGCAAAATATCAGCTTTCAGCAGATATTTTGCTAAGGATCCACCTGAAATGCGTCACAGAAATCGCTTGGCAAAGAAGGTCAGCTTAATGGCGTGGACTTCCCAAGTAGATCAAATGAACCTGACAAAGAAGTTCACAGAGTAAAACCAGATCCTAAGTTCTTGATGAATTACTTTTTTTTTTTTTAGACAGAGCTGACCAAAGAACGTTGCTCTCTCTAAGACAGTGGCCCCTAAAGCAGAGGACAAGAGCGTGTTACACGAAAAAGAAGACACGCCTATTAGACTGTCGCCCCACCCCTCATCTACAGCAGAGGGTTACAACCGAATAAAATTTGCCTGCTGCTACAATCGTCTCATGGTTTTATTTCGTCGGTAACAATCTGGCCAAAGGGTTATTTTTTAAGCTACAAGCGTTTGTCTGGAAGAAGCTGCCCACTGAGATCAAACCTGGTGCCTGCTACAAGTGCAGGAAATACACAGAGTCAGTATCTTTCACTTTAAATTATCATATCTTAAAGTGAAAGATATTTAATTCGGATTGTTTTATCTGTGTAATAATAGCTTAAATTATTTTTAGTTTGTCCAGGCAATATTGAATCAATTGTTAAGTCTGCTGCTAGGAAAGTTGGTTCATTCTATCATGCTGGACAATTTTTCTTGCTATAATCTACCTTACACATTTACAAGGTTACTATTCATCCATGCTTTGAATATTGCTGCCACATCTGGTCTGGTGCTTCTGCTATGTAGTCATAGATTCTTGATAAAATCCTAAGAAGAATCTGCAATGTTATCAGTCCTGAACTGGCATCTCAACTTCAGCCGATTTCCAACTGCCCTAAAATAGCTTTCCTGCGCTTTTTCTATCAATATTTTTATGGTAATTGTCCTGATGAGCATTTTTTCTCTTTGGTATCAAGACACTATGAATTTAAGTGCAGTACTAGATTAGCAGTTAGTACAGAACTTAGAGTTGCATCCAGCAGTTCATTCTCTTCGATTTCTTTCTTGTGGAACTCTCTTCGATTTCTTGCTTCTGGTCAACTTTGAGCCTCAATATCATTATCTTTTTTTTATTTTTTTTTATTCCCTCTCCTTAATGTTTAATTTTCAGTAACCCCTTGCATCTTAGTGGCTTTATTGTCTTGCATGGGATGAAATTATTCAAAAAAAGTAGTACAAATATGCTAAGTTGATATAAATAAACCTCATTAAGTCATTCTCCTTAATTTTTATTTCTATGTTAAAATTATTTCAACCTTGATTAAATTGTCCAATTGATATGCCACCAACCAAAAACATTCTCATCAGAGAGGAAAACAGAAATAAGCACCATCCCTTGTAACTGATCTGGAATCTGAACAAAGTCAGAGATTCTGTTAAACATTTAAATCCTTCCTTTATTTTTATGTTAAAATTATTTCAACCTTGTTTAAAGTGGCCAATTTTCATCAAGCTATACAACTGCTTTCTCTTCCAAGAAGCGGGGACATTAGTAAATTCCATCCAGCACTAGTTGGTGTGTCAATGAATGGCAAACGTTTCCTTAGAAGGAAACGTAACTGTCTACAGATCCCAAAGAGTGAGAGTTCAATACCCAGTTAAGGCAGTGGAGAACTTGGAGAGGGGAATTAACAGGAGATAACTGATAACTGACACCCATTAGACATGGCATGTGGAACTAGAACAGTCCAAACCGGTGAGCGAAATAAAGGGTTCAGTTCGACATTTCAACCACCTGAAGAAGGCTGGAGCGTACAATGGCCAAAACGTTGTAATAAATATGGTGACAAAGATGAGGACAATAGTCCGAATAATGTAAATAGTGTAGAAGAAAATGGTTTATAAATATTACCATTACTATAGAAATTTTGTCATGTTTTTAAAATACTTTTTTTTTTTTCTATTTAAATGTTAATATTATTTCAACATTGTTTTAAATGGTCTCAGTTTCATTAAGCTCATTGATTACTTTCCTCATCCCCTGAAAAGAAAGCTATGTTCCCCCCTACCTTGCAGTTTGCGGGTGGGGGTCAAAGTCACTGTGGACTCCACAATCTTTTCATTAGTTGCCTATAGTATGTGCTTCACCATGACTACATACAGGTTTTAAATTCACAGTTCTCCTTCTCCAAGGTTGGTTACCAACTATTGCTGAAGAACTCAGTCTCCTCTACTATTTCACCTGTAGCTATGAGCTAATTTTAATAAATGCAATAAAAAATATTTCTTGAATCCCCTGAATTAGTGTCACCTATTTATCATCTCCATAACACCTCATTAACGTTAACACCAGAATCTTTAAGGAGAGGTCAAACAGCTAACTTTGTTTCTGAAAACAAGCTGATCAACCGTGTTCTCTTCACAAACCTCGTAACAGCAATAAACGATCACTTTTAACAGATTTGTCTTCAGCACAAAGTCGTACAAAGTCATAAATATTCATGGACCTTGAAATTTTGATCAAATAATCTGAAATTTGAATAATCAGTGTTTAGTCAGGCAATCTACTGTAGATACAGAAGAGAGTTCACAATGCAGCTGCTTAACCCGCAAGTTAATCTGGATAAAACTCAGTTATTAAATAAGGAACAAATAGGAAAACTTATAAATCTAACATTTTATTTATTTAACTTCATCAGAATGTTTCTTTTAATCAAATAATGTAGAGTTGTTTTTTTTTTCTTTTTAATTTCTGTATTGTTTAGCTTTCATTCATTGGGTAACCAATGATCAGGTGATGGATTTGTTTTTTTTGTTTTGGTTTTTTATGGCTTATCAACTCCTCTGAGTTTTTTAAAGCCAAAACAGATTCCAGACTGTAGGCAGTTGCTTACAGTACCCAATGTCCCCAGTCAGTCACCCATCCAAGTACTGGCTGGGATCAATACTGCCTAAGGGCAACCAATGAAAACTTAAATGTAGAATTTTAAAATCAAAAACAACTCGTCATTATTTCTTTTAAATATAAATTAAATAATATAAATAAAAAAAAAAAAAAACTTATGAAATAAATACCATATATACTCGTGTATAAGCCGACTTCATGTATAATGTGACCCCTGAAATTTTGGGAGTTAATTTATCCCCTGCAGATAAAATAGTTACCTGAATATAGTACCAAAAAAATGCAGGATTTTTAATTTCTTCAAAAAAAATAAAAAATAAAAAAAAATAAAAAAATAAAAACTCACTTTACTCGAGTATATATGGTACATTTTTGTTTCTTATTTAATTGTTTCACTGGATTTAATCCAGATTTTAATTTCGAAGAAGACATTGTCAACACAAAAGAAATGTTAAACTTAAAAAATAAATTTAAAAAAAACAGAAATAAAAGAAAAGAATTTTTTTTTTTATTTTCCAGGATTTTGAAAACACAATAACTTTAATAATAATAATTATAATAATAATAATAATAGTAATAATTATTGTAATAATTATAAGAAAATGAACAATTTTTTTTTAAGTTTGTTTTTTGTTTAAATTTTTTTTTTTTTTTAAAGAAAACAAGGTAACTGAAATTTTTTAAAAATTCAAAATGGCATATTGAGGGGGGGGGGGTTCAGATAAAGATTTTGAAAATAGAAAGTATTTTTTTTAAGAGAAGAAACAAGACCCAGTGAAATGAGTCATCGTCATCATACAAAAGGGAAAAAAATGAAACTGAAGCAACAATTACTAAAATGGGAAAAAAAATATCAGTTTTGAAAAGAGAGGAAATCCTCAAATCCATTTCAAGGTTTTTGTTGTTATTGTTTCTCTGTGTTACAATAAAATAAAATTCAACAATTTTTTAAATTTATCTTTGATGGAAATTCTGCCAGAATTTTTCTTCTTCATTTAAGGCTTTGCTAAACAAACAAAAACTACTTGCGATAAAGAAAAACAGAAAGGGGATGAAAGAGATACTAATAAATACCTGATACTGAAAGTACTAAAAAATTGGTTAAAAATTGCAATTTTTATTTTTATTTTTTTTTTTATTCAATCAAATATCTTAACTGAATAATCACTTAATACAGAAAGAGAGAAAAAAATAGTAATAAAAAAACAAAAACAAAAAAAAACAGTTATTTTCAGAAATGAATTAAGGGTGGATTATATTATGCTTTTTGTGTCTTTTTTTTTTTTGTTCTTTCTTTTTTAGCAAAAATAATTTATTGAAAGACCCAAAAGCAGCAAGCAATTACATTTTCCTTAAGATAAAAGCAAAATGAAATTTTAAATATTTGCTTTCTATGAAAGAGAAAAATATGAAGAGAAAATAATTTCATTATTGCATAGACATATAATCTGCAAAATGCATATGTATGCATTATATGCATGTGACTGTCTTATGTGCACATTACAAGTGAGTATGAGTTTGTATGGTAGAGTGTGTGTGTGTGTGTGCGTGCGTGTGTGTATGCACAACGTGTGTAATATGAGTATGTGTATAAAGTATGATAAAGGCAGATTGGAAAAAAAATGATTTTTTTTTTTTTTTTTTTTTAAATAAAGTATTTATAATTTATGGATTATTTTCTTTTGATATATGTCCCCACCCCCACCATGCATGCACCCACCCACCTCCTGCCTGCCATAAGACAAAAGACTGGCAGTTCTTGACTAAATGGGAAAGAGATTTCCAATTCTCCCATGTTTAAACCCCACAACTTCACTGGCCACTTTCATATGAATCAGGGGAAACTTATACACCTTAAACCCTTTGGACGTACTAAACAAAACGACTTTGTATTTCATATAGCAAAAGAGAATTAATTAGTAGAAGAACTTTAAACCTGGGTAGCAGTTTTTACCTTAAACAAATAGATAGATAGATAGATAGATAGATAGATAGATAGATAGATAGATAGATAGATAACTTAACAATTATCTGGTTCTATATTTAATACATTTTTTTTAACCAAATAATAAAATTTTCTTAAGAATACAAATATTTATTCATTCATTCATTCGTTAGTTTATTTATCAAATGATTTTAGCGAAAAAAAAAATCACATTCTGGTTTCCCACAATGCACTCTTAATTTGTAAAAACAGTCACTTTCTCCAACAAATAAATCTAAACAAGTTTGGAGAAATTAAGTGCACTGAATTAAAATTAATTTCTGCTCCAAATACACAAAGTAAAACTTTCCCCCTTTCTTATTTATGAAGACTCGTCTGTTCAGTCTGTTATTGTATAGAATTAGATTTTGTTTTTTTTAAAGTGACAGAGATTGGAGTCGTGCAGAGTTCTCTGCCCTTGAAATCAAATTAATAAGTGAAGAGTTTTCTGCCTTGAAATCAAATTAATAACGGAAGAGTTCTCTGCTCTTGAAATAAAATTAATAACTGATACAAGAAATAAATAATTCAGCAGAAACATGATGAAAATAATAATAATAATAATAATATTGAATACAATTAAAAAAAATATTTAAAGAAAAAAAATCATACATGACGAGAGAAACATTCCTTTCCTTTCAACTGAAAAAAAAAAAAATTACATAAATTGAATATTTAATTTTATATTTATTGAAATAACTAAGTGCAACAGTTACTTACACATAACCTGTCTGGTTTGTTTTATTTGGTTGAAGGAAAAAAGGTCATTCAAAAAATAATGTCATGGAAGCAAAGTCATAATATATGCTTATTAGGGCAGAAAAAGTCATAACTTTCGTTTATGACAAGTTATCAGGGTAATGCTTTTTTTTTTTAGGAGAAAAATTCTCATTTACTTAACATATCTTCATAAAATAAAAATAAAATCATATTTAATTTAAAGAATGAAATAAATATTTTTGTGGAGACAAAACAGTGTACAACATTATATTCTTTTTTTTGAATGTTGGTAGAGGTTTCAGGGCTTTTATTTTCTTTAAGTCTTAATCAGCTTTTTACATTGATTTTTTTTAATATGTACCTAGGCTTTTGCCAGGAATGTTGAAATTAATAATTAGCTCAAGAAACCCCATGGAGCCATACCTCCTAGGAATTACAGCTCCTTCAGGAGTGGCCTAGTCATTACCCCACACGTGAGGCCTTCCCAATAGGGGAAGTGCTGAGGAGGCTTGAGCAATTTTTCCCCCCCACGGTATTACCATTAAAGTAATAAACCCACTTTAAACCTGGAAGTTGTCTCACATTCAGTAGTGACATGGGTGGGCTGAAAAATCCCTTCAAATGCCACATACTTTATAATGGATAATAATTTAAAATTCTTACAAAGGAAGATTATTCTGCAATTCAAAATTTTAGGGAAAGCAGAAAATATGTTTAGGGTTTATTATGTCATAACCATTTTTTTTTTTTTTTAATTACAATTATACGATGTTGACCATCTGTATAGTTCAGCCACTTTTTTTTTTTTTTTTTTTACTTATTAAAAGTAAAATATTACTTTATTATTAAATTTTACATTTTTATTAATTATTATTAAATATTACATTTTTATTCATTGCTTATTTATTTAAAGAAATAATTAAATTATCACTTATTTTATTAAAAGCATGGTTTTATTAAATCAAAATAAAATTTTTTTTTCTTTGATAAGAAAAAAACAAAATTATTGCATTTTGAAGCCTAAATAATGGCTAATAGTAATAACTTTACTACTCCCATGATTTTTCTGACTTTTTTCCTGTCACCATTTAAGTCCTAAAAAGAACAAATTTATTCCAGTTGACTAAATATTTCACTTGTACATTCAATGTCACTGCTTCTTTCATTTTTTTTTGTCTGTTTTTAATTTTTTTTTTTTTACTAAATAGAATTTAAAGGCATCCAACTAAACAATTTCTCTACAACTATTTTTCTACACAACAGTAACCATCCATTGAAGTTTCCCACATTTTTTCCCAGAATTCATTGCCTTGAATGACAACAAAAGTAGAAACATGACATTATAAAAAATATTTCACTTATTTTATAAATAAAAAGGTTCTATACTATAACCAGCAAAAGATCTTCAACCCCGCAATACCAAATAAACATAACTGCTTACAATCATTTTGTTTCAGTAATACTTGTCATAATAATGCACTTGTTATTCGTTATGGCTATAATTACAATAATTTGCAAATATGTATATATTTGGAAATTGTCTTAGAGAAACTATCCAACTAATTTCTATGTACATTTTCAAATTTATGTTTAATACAAGAGATTCTTGAAGAAAAAAAAAACTTTTCTTAAATTCAGTGAGAAAATGCAACTATATTATAAGCAAAAAAATTGAACTGAATATTAGGAAAAAAATAAATAAATAAATTTATAATTACTGAAGTTTTTTTTTTGTTTTTTTGTTTTTTTTGTTTTTTTTAAATATATTACACAAAATATGAAGCTCTCCTATTTTGTGCAAAAATAGGAAACAAGGCAACATTAAAACAGGGGTGATGAGGCAAACTAGGAAACGTGAATGGCCCTGGCAAACCCTCAAGAGGCCAATCAGCTTACCAGCCTATTGACTAGACACTAGGCATCACCAGGCCACGGGAACTTTGCCCAATGTCTATTCAAGCCCATTCCAAACATGGTCAGAGCATTAATAACTTCCTGAATTATATCAACTCATGACAACTTCCAAAATTATATTAAGACTATCAAAGAGAAGAGAAAACGCCACACAGCAAAATGATACTTTAGGCAGCAAAAATACCAGATTTTAAATGAAGTCTAAACTGGGTTCTCTATGTAAAACCTAACAAAATGTTTGGAATTTCTTGCACAAGGAATGATAACTATTAAAAAAGGGTTCAAAATAAACTGTTTAATAACTTAATTTATTAAGCTTAATAAACAAAATAAAAAAAACTATATAGGCATTAATATTTATATTTTCAATGCATAAAAGAAAAAGCTATCATACATACAACAGAAAAATAACACTGAATAAGTTTTAAATGATCAAATTTCCAATAAGAGAATCTGTAATAAACTAATTTAAGATTCAGATTAAATCTAGCTGGAGATTTATGTAAATGTACAATTTTTTGTTTTTTGTCTGAATTTCCAAGTTGAAGAATATTATCATCATTCTACATAGATTTATTTGGACTAGTGTCCTCACCTTCTTTGTTATAGTAACAGTTCCATTCATGCAATCTATGGCCTTCTTCAGAGAGGTTTCTCATATCCAGTCATCATCTGAAAATTTTGAACCTTGTGCCAAACAATTTATTTGATCTACAATGATGTACTGTTCTCAGATTTGCAATTCAGACTGAGGCGATATCTTAAGTTATGCTCTTGTAATGCCACATGATTTTATATGTCTGTCTCAGGGACTGAACTCCCAACCATAAAAAAAAACACAAGGATCTAGAAGTGGATCCAGTTATCTGTCGGTCAAGAGATCAACCCCTTGGTCAAGCAGTAAAAGATATACCCTGGTTCAGTGGAAGAAGAAAATGCATTATCACAAGGAAAAATTAAGATACAGGATCTCTTCTGGCACTGACAGAAGAAAAAGAACTATGTACCTTGACTGATTGAATAAAGTGCTTTCCCAGAAGGTAACCAATTATGACAGACTCCTGAAGAAGGCTAGAGGGTATAATGGCTGAAACAGTGTGACTATAACGAGGAAAATGAAGACACTAACCTGAACAGATCAATGTATAATCTAACGTTTCCGTTGTAAACCAAAATCCTGTCTTATCAGATAATTGTAAATGACACTGCAAGTCTTTTATAACTTGCCATAGCATGAAACTATATAACAGCAATGTATAAGGAAAAAAAAAAACAAAAACAAATGGTGGGTCAAAAGGACAGGTTTTTTTCTTTTGACACTGGCATAACTGTATGCTCCCTTGGCAATCTTTCTTGCTTTAAAAAGATTATTTTTTAGAATTTTAATAAACTATAGACATATAAAACTGGAATTATATGTTCTCTTTCTTTCTAAAATTTGGAAACCAAAAAAATTAAACACTTATATGATTATTTACAGGAAGAATTTTATATTTACAACTTTAAAAAATGTGAACCAATTACAATGCAATATTTATCATATAAAGCAATAACTATAAATAAACAATATTATTCGTTAATTTATAAAAATGACTGAACAAGAAAATTTAAATAAACACATCACTATGAATAACCAATTACAAATTTTGAAAAAAGTGCATTTTTTAGGCATTTTTTTTCATTTGCGCTTGTCGTATAAATTCACTAAAATAATTTGAGGACATCTAAATTTTTTTCTCGAGAAGTGGCAACAAAAATGTTAAACACTTTTATTTATTAAAGTGTTTAGCTACAAGAACAGTGTTTAATAATTTTGATGTCAAATTTCGAGAAAAAAAAAAAAAGACTATAAATCCAGTTTCATATATTTGGGTTTTAATAAACTTCTAAAAATAGCATTTTAACATTATTGAAAATAAAAAAATTAAAAATTTGCCAAGAGAGTCTAGAGTAATAGCAATGTCAAGGGAAAAACTGTCCTTTGGACACACAATTTTTTTGCCGGTACGAAGGTTAAACTTTTCTGATATGACAATATTCAAAAGAATATATTTCATTTTGTTTTTAAATATCTCTTCCTGCAAATATGTTTAAATATTTTTTTTTTTTTTTTTACACCTAACATTTTTAGAGAAAATATATTAGAAACCTGGTAACGCATCATGAAAAATCTCTTACCAATGTCTCAGAACCTTGACTAACAGTTAACTAACATCATATTTTTATTAAAAACCAAAACATCATTGTTACCACTTCCACAAAATATCTGAATCTATAGACTTACATAGACACACACCCACACATACACACGTAAGCATACAAAGTCGCACCAAGACAGATGCACATTAGGACTGTCAAATTCTACACTGCAATAACACTACTGCTATTGCTCTTCCAGATTTTTTTCCTTTTTTTTTTTTTTTGCCAATTTGAACCATTTTTTTTTTTTTTTTTTTTTTTTTTGATAAAAAAAAGAAAAAAAAAAAAAGAACACTGAATGGCTTGCCCGATTGCTTGTGGGAGTGGCCTTAAATCTGTCTGGCCAGTGAGACTAGGTATTCACTTAGTACTGGGGATGGGTCTCGTATGTTGTAGTTGTGGTTGACTCTACAGTGCCGATGTTAGCAGTACCAGCAGAAGACTTTGAGGCCTGGTAATCACGATACAAAAAAAAAGTCTCCACAGCTGCAACAGCGAGAGTAGCAAATGTAAAGAACTGGAAAGAAAAAAAAAAAAAAAAAAAAAAAGTTAATTAACATTTAATACCTTTTTATTTCTGCATCAATTAAAACAAAATATTTTTTGCTTTTATGAAAAAATTAAGAAATCAATAAATCAATCTACCAAAAAGAAACAAAAATTAAAAATTTACATATTCTTAAAAAAATCTTATAGATTAAAAATAACAAAAAAAGAAGAAAAAAAAGCACCATGCAAATGTAGACCAATAGGTCTATAGCCTGATATGTACACATGAGTTAAATTTTAATTTGAAATTTTTACTGTTCAATATTCATTCGCCTGTCTATATCTTTGAGATATTGTAACTATTTACATCATTTGAACAGTTCACAATTCACATTATTCGGACTATTGTCCTCATCATTGTTGCCATATTTATCACAACGTTTCAGCCATTGTACGCTACGGCCTTCTTCAGGTGGTTGGAATGTCAAACTAAACCCTTTATTTCTCTCACTGGGGCAGACTGTTCTAGTTCCATGTGTCATATCTAATGGATGTCAGTTATCTCCTGTTAATTATCCACAGCCTTAACCACGTATTGAATTCACCCTCTCTGGGTCCTGTCACTGGATCTGACTAACGCCTTTATCCATTGTGCCACTTGAGGACACATGGCACAGTGGAGAACTTGGAGACGGGAATGTGGCTAATGCTAACCTCCAGGAAAGCAATACATTGCACTTTCTCAGGTTAATGTTTTCTGCTGACAAAGTGAAAAGATTATATCAAATCAGTTGCTAGGTCTAGAACTATGTAAATTTGTTCAGTGTCATGCTAGATAATTTTTCTTGCTTGAATCTATCTTACATATTTAAAAGTTTATCATCTACCCATGTTTGGAATACAGCTGCTACATATGGTTTGGTGCTCCTGCTATATATTTAGAAATTATTATTAAATCCAAAGAATCTACAATATTATTGATCCTGACCTTCCATCATTGCCATAATATACCTTCTCTGTGTCTTTTCTATAAATTCTTTCATGATAATTCTTCAGATCAACTTTCCTCTATGGTACCTGAACTTTATGAATTTAAGTGCAATACTAGATTGGTGGCACGGTCTCATCAATTCAAAGTTGAATTGGCTAGATGTAAGTGTAAGTTTTATGCTAACAGTTTTTTTTTTCTCAAGGACACATGGCACAGTGGATAAAGGCGTTAGTTAGATCCAGTGACAGAACCCAAGGAGTGTGAGTTCAATACCCGGTTAAGGCAGTGGAGAACTTTCAGAGGGGAATCAACAGGAGATAACTGACATCCATTAAACATGGCACGTGGAATTAGAACAGTCTACCCCAGTGAGCGAAATAAAGGTTCAATTCGACATTCCAACCACCTGAAGAAGGCTGGAGTGTACAATGGCCGAAACGTTGTAATAAATATGGCGACAAAGATGAGGACAATTGTCCGAATAATGTAAATATAATACCTCATCTCAGAAATATAGACAGTTATTTTTTCTCTCACACTTCTTGCTTGTGGAACTCTCTTCTGTCGTCTTGCTTCCCAGTCAATTTTGATCTTCAAAAATTTAAATGCATTTTCAGATGTTATCTTGTCTTCTTCATTCCTGTTCTTTTATTATTCTCTCCTTTCTAATCCTTTTCTTTCTCTCATATTTCTTTCACACTCAGTAACCCCTTTGTAGGGTGTGAATATCAGTTTAAAAAAAAAAAAAGAAAAAACAAGCATTTGCAGCATTGAAAAATGAGCAACAAGATATTTTTAAGTAAAATTGGAGCAAAAGAGATACTTATTTGGAATCTGGAAAAAAAAGAGTTGAATAATGAGGAATAAAGGCTTGGCAAATTTGACCCTCAGAGGACATACTAAAGACAAGAGAAGCAGATGAAAACATTAAGTAACTGACCTATGAAACTTGTGTGAATAGAGGGAACAACAGGGAGTTGGAAGGATAGTAAAAAAGACAAACATGGCTAAGTTACAAAGGATGAGATGCAGTGGAGAGCCATGATCACCTACCTAACGAGCTCATGAAAATGGAAGGAACAACAGGGAGTTGGAAGGATAGTAAAAAGAAGTATTGATAGAGTTACAAGGAATAATAAGCAACTGATCTCAAAAATGACCTACAATCTGCTGTTAACTGGGGCAAGAAATGGCTTGGATTTTAATGCCTCCAAAGTGAATTTGCTCCATTTTAATCATCAGAGAGAAGTCTTTCTGCCTTCCATCAGTGTGGAACTGCCAGGATTGTGATTCATTGTGCTTTCTCTGGCTAATATTTTCTACTGACATGAAGTAGAAAGATTATATTAAACTAATTACTTGGTCTGCTTCTACAAACATTGGTTCATTGTGGCATTCAAGACAGTACTTTTCATCAGAATCTATCTTACACATTGGTAAGTCTATTTTTCCATGCTTTGAATATTGCTGCCACATATGCTTTGGTACTTCTGCTACGTTTTTTAAAGATTCTTTATAAAATCTAAAGAAGAATCTGCACTATTATCAGTCCTAATCTCACCTCCAGTCACTTTCTCACCACCATAAGATGGCTTCCCAGAGCCTTTTCTATAAATACTTTCATGCTAGCCTCCATTAAGGTACCTAGAATTTATGAATTTAAAATCTGTACTAGATTGGCAGCTAGGTCTCATCATTTTACAGTTGAAATGGCGAGACGTAACTGTAAGTTCTATGCTAACAGTTTCTTTTCTCACACTTCTTGCTTGTGGAACTCTTTTCTGGCTTCTTGCTTTCTAGTCAACTTTGATCTTGTTATACCTATTCTATTATTAATAGACTCTCCCACATATAATAAGTAGTAGTAGTAGTAGCAGTCGCGAAGTCGCTCAAAGAGTTGGTGAGTCAGTCGATGTCGGACATTAAAGTATGAGCCACCACTAGATTGCTGCGTCATTAACTATTATATCAAGTTAATAACGTTTTGTACGTCGGACCTTTTTAGAACCGACTTAGTGAAATACAAGCCTCCACTGTGAAACTACTCTACAACAGATCTTCAAAAACTTAAATACAATGCCAATTATTATCATCCGTCTTCTTAATTTCTGTTCTTTTATTGTTCTCTCTCCTTAATAATGTTTTTTTTTGTATTCTCTCACATTCAGCAACCCTTTGCATCTTAGTGGCTTTATTGCCTTGCTTAGAGAGACATGATTAAAAAGAAACAAAAGTGTTTATGTAAATAGATAAATAATGGAGAGTGGGACAGATAGCAAGATCTGAACTAGAAATAGGATATTGGGAAGAGCCACGAAACATTTTTAAAATATGGTATGTAATCAAGTTAATGCTGCTAAAATTAAGTAGCCTAGTTGAGAAAGGTAAGATATCAAACGCTAGAAACAGAGAGTCAATTTTCTTCCGTTATCAATTCTAATTTATTTTCAGAAACAGGTTATTGTTTTTAAACATATAGAGACTACAAAAGTGATGTGTGTTCTGTAGCTTTTAACTTAAAAGATACTTACAGCGGCAGCACCAAGTGCTGGAACATGTCCCCATACAGCAGCTACAATACCGGCAATGAACAGACAGAAGCAGGCACCAAGAAAATAGCAGAATTCCTAGAGAGAGAAAAAAAAAAAATGTCAAAGAATTTGATAAATGATAAAAAACATGAAGAAATAAATGTGATAACTTTGAATACAAATTTTATTTTTTTTAAATGAGGAAAGAAAAATTACATTTAAAACATTTAATATAATATGGCTTCTTCTAAGAAATCCTGACACATTAAGATATCACGATGTGAGTGATCATGGCTCTTCACCATTTCCTGTCCTTTCTTAGTGTCTTTTTTCTATCTCTCCAAATCCCTGTTCTGTCAACCATTTACGCAAGCACTTTCCTCTATGTGCCATGTTCTTTCAGGACATAGGCGATCATGGCTCTACATGACTTCTTTGTAGTTCTTAGTGTTTGTCTTCCCAATTTCTGTTCTGTCAGCCATTTACACAGACACATTAGATAGGTTGCTCTGTCAGCCATTTACACAGACACATTAGATAGGTTGCTCTGTCAGCCATTTACACAGACACATTACATAGGTTGCTCTGTCAGCCATTTACACAGACACATTACATAGGTTGCTCTGTCAGCCATTTACACAGACACATTAGATAGGTTGCTCTGTCAGCCATTTACAGACACATTAGATGGGTTGCTCTGTCAGCCATTTACACAGACACATTACATAGGTTGCTCTGTCAGCCATTTACACAGACACATTACATGGGTTGCTCTGTCAGCCATTTACACAGACACATTACATAGGTTGCTCTGTCAGCCATTTACACAGACACATTACATAGGTTGCTCTGTCAGCCATTTACACAGACACATTACATAGGTTGCTCTGTCAGCCATTTACACAGACACATTACATAGGTTGTTCTGTCAGCTATTCATACAAACACATTACATAGGTTGTTCTCTGCTTTCCTCTCTCTTGCATTCAACATATCCTGTGAGTGCCAAATTCTCCAAGCCCTCTTTCCGCATTATGTGTCCTAGAAATTTAATTGGCTCTTTCTCATTGTACAAACAGAGTGGAACAGAAATACCCCCCACATAATTGTAAGACATTAGCTAGATGAAGACACCATTGCCGCAAATGTCTTACCATTAGGAGGGAAGTATTTCTGGGAGGCATATGCGGGTGGTGCTTTTGCTACACCCTGTATCCTTTTTGTTTCCATATTCCCTAAAACTTCCTCATTACACACATGTTCAGTTCATGGAATTCTCAGCATCCTTCTGTAAAACCACGTTTCTGTTGCTTCAAGTCTCTTCTTCATCTGTGAGGAGGAGATTGTCCTGCATTCACTGCCATATGGGAGGACAGATATTACATAACAGTTCAATACTCATTTCTTTGTTTCTAACAAAAGACTAGGGTGCCTCTAAGTAATTGGTTTAAACAAACAACAGAAAAATAAAAATAATAGTATAATGCAAGCAATAAATTAAGTTGTTATTTAATCATCTTTCACTAATGGTATGTTCGAATTCTCATGTACACAAACTTTACTAGTCACTACTTAAAAAAATTGGTTCACACAAAAAATGGGAATTTTTTTTTTTTTTTTTGAGCAAGGAGAGGGAATAATTTTTATAGATTACCAGTCTTTAAAACTTGTATAGGCTACAACCCTTGACAGAATAAAAAACAAATACTGATTTGTTGTCAATACAAATTGAGTTTTTTTTATTTATAATATTAGTACCATTTATAATATTAGTACCATTTAAAAATTAACAAAGCTAGATCTGCTGCTAGGAAAGTTGGTTCTCTGTGTCATGCTAGACAACTTTTCTCTCCAAAATCTATCTTACAAATTTATAAGTCTACCATTCATAACAATTTTGAATATTCCCACCACACATGGTTTGGTGCTCATGTTATATATTTAGAGATTCTTGATAAAATCCAAAATAGAATCTGCAATGTTATTGGTCCTGACCTGGCATCCTGGCTTCAGTCATTTTTCCACCACCATAAGCTTCTCTCTGCCTTTTCTACAAATAATTTCATAGTAATTGTTCTGATGAACTTTCTGCTATGTTACCTAGACGTTATGAATTTAAGTGCAGTACTAGATTGACAACAAGGTTTCATCATTTCCTAGTTGAATTGGCTAGATGCAACCATAAGTTCTTTGCTAATACTTTCTTTTCTCACACTTCTCACCTGTGGAACTCTTGGTTTCTTGCTTTCCAGTCAACAGTGATCTTCAAAAGTTTAAAAGCAATGCCAATTGTTACCTACTGTCCCTTCTATTGATCTCTCTCCTTAACATCTCATTCTTTCACCCTCATTAAGTCCCTGTGTGTTAGTGGCTTTGTTGCCTTGCTTAGGATGAAACGATTAACAAAAAAACAACAAAAATATTTTTTTTTTTTTTTTACATTATTAATTTCTATAGACACTGAAATAGTTTCACAAACAAAAACTGAACACATTTCATTTCTATCTGAGTTTCTGGGATAAGGAGTTACTGTTTACACTATTTACACCGAGACTAATGTCCTCATCCTTGTTATCATCATCACAACGTCTTGGATAGTGTGCCCTCCAGATTTCTCTCAACCTTCAGGTAATTACCAACTAAACCCTCTATTTAATCTACAATGTAGATTATTCTAGTCCTGCTGCCCATGTCTACATATATTTATATTTGGACTAATATCTCCATTTTTGTTATTACTATCACAACATTTTGGCATTCTGGAATGAGGTTTGGCTAGATTTGTTTAACAGCATATCAACGCCTTATGGGTCATTTTGAGGAATCGGAGAACCAAGTTCAAATTCCAGTCAAATCCATTACATTCACTTGCATGCTAATACCCTTGGGAAAGATATGAATCCTCTTCCTCTCCCCCACCACCAGCTATGGGTAAATAGCAGGACAGACCAGGTTCTATAGCCTTGGATGGCAATTGATCTACCACAAAAAGAAATTGCAACCTACTGCAGGAAAAAATCTGCCTTGTCAGTCATGGATCAAAAAATTCATGGTTGCCTAAGCGTGTATCACGCATGGCACATAATTGACTAAATGCCAAAATTTAATTTTCTTGGGAGCTTTGGTAACTTTTTTTTTTTTTTTTTTTTACTATTAAAACCTATTACTGGTATTTTTACTATGAAAATGTATTTTTATACTTTTATAGTATTTTGACCCCAGTTTGGGGATTCACTATTTGCCCATAGAAGGGACCCTAACAGATGCTACCATTCCGGATCAGAGTGGACCTGGGAACAACAGCAAATAAAAGGTGATGCCAGACTTCTCAAAACTCCACTGATCAGAGATCTTACTGCCAGATGTAGTTTATCATTATACCCAAGAATGAGGAGTTATTTACATTCAAAGTAATGTCCTCTTCATTTTTGTTACTAAAACAATGTTTTCATTTGCTGGAATGAGGAGTTGTCATCATTTAGATTCAGACTAACATTCCTGTCTTTATTGTGACTATCAGATTTTGAATTTCTTGGATTAGACGTTCTTTGTATTTTGACTAATATCCTCATCTCTGTTGTTACTATAACAATGTTTCAGTTTTCTGGGAAGTGGAGTTATCATTATTTATATTCAGACTAAGATCCACATTTGTGGTCATCACAATGTTTCATATATGTCCTCCAGTATTCTTCCATTGTTGTCAATTCAGGGTAATCTCCAAGGAATATTGAACTGAACCCTTTATTTAATCTACCAGCTTATTCTGTTCTCATTCCACTATTCATGTCTATGGATATCTTGTCTTGTTCTTTTTCCATACTGTTATTTCTTATCCTGCCTCCACTGAGTATGTCTGTACTACCTTCTTCAGCAATTGAACCCGCAAATCTCAAACCAATCCTTGAATCCACTCGGCTATTGTCCCATGCACCACTTCTGCAGGTTTACAATTGAAGCCAATTCAAGGTTAACAATCAACTCCCAAAACCTTTTACTTGCACCTACAAATACTAAGTGTAGATTTGCTAAGTCAAACTTTAAAAAATAAATAAAATAAATCAATGCTTTTATATCTGTTGTAGCATACCTATAGACGATAAAGGGTATGTCCCCATTCACATAAATACAGTAGTAAATACTGTATGTTGGTCTAGAGTTGGAGATTTATTGTGGGATTGACTTGACTCACTTCTAGCAGCTGCCTACTTCTATGCACCGCTGGCAAATCTTTTATATGTTGTTCTTGTCCTAAGTATTATCGTTCATTACCAACCCTCAGTTGATTATTCTATTCAGTAACCTTCCCTAGGTTACAACAATAACCGAACAATTCAAGTTGGCAGGTGTTAACTAATTTCTTTCCAAAACTCCTTTAAAACAAAGCCAATCAAATAATCTGTCTTGGAACCATTTGTTTTATTCTATTTAAAGCAAACTTGAAGCCCACAGATTAATTTCTATCAGTCTTCTCCATTCCCTGCTTGATATTTATTAGTGCATCACTCTTGAAACTAGTATCATTTCATAGCCGATCCACATCTTTTAGTTGATCTCCTCTCCTCCATTTTCCAGGTTATGGCTCACAAAAAAATTAACAGCTCTTCTTTCCTTCTACAAATGTACCTAATGAATTTTAATTCCAATTTCTTTTGTATCTGTCTATATATCAAGGACACATGGCACAGTGGATAAAGGCGTTAGTTAGATCCAGTGACAGGACCCAAAGAGTGTGAGTTCAATACCCAGTTAAGGCGGTAGAAAACTTGGAGAGGGCAATTAAGAGAAAATAACTGATATCTGATATCCATTAAACATGGCACATGGAACTAGAACAGTCTACCCCAGTGAGCGAAATAAAGGGTTCAGTTCAATACCTGAAGGAGGCCAGAGTGTACAATGGCCAAAATATTGTAATAAATATGGTAACAAGGATGAGGACAATGGTCCAAATAATGTAAATAGTGCCAATTTCTTTTAACTTGTATGGAATTCACCTCTATCTGCTTGTTTATTGCTAACAAACTTGATCAGGTAATTGAAGTATTGTATTGAAAGTGTCAAGGATACATAGATGAACGTTTGCAAGGATGGCT